GCAAAGTGCGTGGTGGCAAGTGTGGGGGAGGGACCTTTCCTTCTCTTGCATAGGGAAATTCTTAGGGGGAATGCAGCTGTGGGGATGGGTGGGGAGGGAGGAGAAGAAACTGCAGAGGGAGGCGTTCAGATGGGTTGGTGTTGCTTCAGGGATCAGAAGGAGGTGAGAGAGTAATGCTGGGGCTGAGTCCCCCACAGGAAGGAAAATAAGTTATTCTGAGGCCTCGTGGCCAGACTTAGAAATAGACTCCCTGGTGAATTTGAGGCAAAAGCTGACAAAACTGGCATTTATGAGGCATCACAGGCTTGAGAGGCAAGGCTATTGTTCTATTTGAGAGACTCAGAGAGGTCTAATTGCTGGCCCAAGGCCATGCTGGGTCTAAGTGAACCTAGGTCTTGCTCTCTCTGCTGAGGGAAAGGCTGGAAGATTCTAGACAGAAAGTGCCATTGCCTTGTCCTTGCTTGATCCAAGACTTCCACCTTCACCCTCAGGCATTTCTCAGCACGTCCCTCCTGAAAGTTCAAATCTGGTCCTTGGTTATGAGTCCTGAACTCCCACCGTACTCAGGTACCTGGGCTGGGGGCCACATGTCCTCCCCACACCTCTCTCCGGTAGCCCTGACAGAGCTCTCTGAGGCCATCAGAAGAGAGTGTTCACTGACCATAGAACTGACTGACTGATTAGCCGAAGAATCAGCTGGTAGAATGACAGACTGTCCCCATGAAACCCCCTTTGACACGTCACTGGAGGAAAGCCAGGCTTGAATAAGAAATGGCTCTATGAGGATTATTGTTAATTTGTGCTAAGGCCATCATTACAGCCACCATCTTCTGGTTGCTGTTAGGAACACAGGAGTCAGACAGATCTGGGTTCCAGTCCAGGCTTTTCCACTTACCAGCCCAGGAACCCTGGGTAGTCACCTCCCCTCTCTGTCTCAGTTTCCTCATCTGTATTATGGAGTCACAGCAGCCATCTAAAAGGATTGCTGGGGGAGTCAAACCTGGGTGCTTGCCTCCTAAGACAGTGAGTGTGCATGGAGGGAAGGGGTCCAGGTCCTCAGGATTTATGGTTGACGGGGATTAGGATGAAAGGGAGAGTCCAGAGGTGGTGTTAATTTGGAGGAGTCAGGTGTGCATGGAAAAGAATGGGATCAGTTGGGCCTTGTGGTCTTGGAGGCGCTGGAAGTTAATGGGGAGAGGGGAGTGCAGCGGCCTTCAGTGGGGCCTGCAGTGTGCCATGCTTGGGCCAGGCGCCCTAAATGCCTTAACTCCTTGGGATAGACGCTGTATCCTCACCTTACAGATGAGGTAACTGGCTCAGAAATACAAAGGGTCTCATCCCAGCTCACACAGCAGGCCAGTGGAGGAGGGGCTGGGGTTCAGACCCAGGTCTGATGACTTGGAAACCTACCATCTGCCTGGGATTGGCTTTTGGCAGCTGGGAGGTGATGGAGGAAACAGGCCCCTGACCCTTTCCAGAAAGAGCAGGGGGAAAGTTGGCCCTCCCTCTCAGACAGCTCTCTGAAACCTTGGCCCTCGTCACCCGGACTCAACTGGTATAAAGAAAGATGATTCCTGCCCCTGGAGGGGTAGCCATAGGCAGACCCTCTGCCCTGTGGACCTACCTCTGGAGTCCGGCTGAAGTGGTAAACAAGGTCTCAGGGCGACTATCTGACCAGCTTGCTGAGCAGCTGCAGGTAGTGGCCAGCTGACAGCCCAAGTAGACAAGTACCCTAAAAGACTAGCCAGACTAGTGACTCGTGACTTGCCAGCTGACGAGCATGAGTGGGCCTGTATGAATGACCAGCCACACAACCCACAGACAGGCACACAGACCCCTTGCGTGCCAGCTCTGGGGCTGTGGGCTCCCGCTGTGGGAACCGCCTGGCCTGCCTGGGGCTGGGATCTTTTCCTGGAGTCTCGGTCCCTGCCCCTCCCTTCATTCCTACAGGCCACCCTGGCCCAGCCCAGGTTGACTCCCACAGCTGTTCCCCTCCTGTCAAGGTTGGCCCCTGACAGTCTTCACAGGACAGGAAGGCCTCAAGGATGTCACATGTGGGGTCACATAGCCCTGGACTCAGGACCTTCCTTCTAAGAGGAGTTCTTGTCTCCTCTTAGAAGGAGTTGGACTGTTTGCTGCTGGTCCCTCAGTAGAGGCCTCAGCCCACAGGAAGGGCTCAGAGGGGACTAACAACCTGGCTGGCCAGCCCCATTCAGTGACCAACTGACCACTCAACACACTGACTGATGGCTGCTCTCAGAACCCAGGGGGTCGGCCACTACTTCCCTCTTCTGCTTAGGCTGCGGACTGGGCTACAAGGAAGTAGAAGGTTCTGAGCTGGTCCACTGACCTTCTGTCCCTTTCCCTCATCCATCCTTTGCGTTTCTTTCAGATCTGGGGCTCCAGCTCAGTGACTCCTGCCCTCCCAGCCTCAGCTCCAGCCCCATCACCTGGCTGGCCTGGCGCCTTGGTTGGGGCTGCTTGCCTCAGGGTTCCCTGCTGTCTTCCAGGTGGCCTGGTTAGGTTTGGTTGGGCTGGAGCACTGTGCTTCTTCCCCTCATCAAACCGGCACAAGGAGCACAGAGTGATGCTGAGGTTAACACCTGAGCTTCAGTCCCTGCACCAATGTCAACCAGCAGAGCTAGTCACCTTGGAGTCCGCGCCCTCCTCAGAAGCACAGGGGCAATGAAAGCTCCCAAGGCGCGGAGTGTGGAGCGCCTGCAGGGGCGCGTAGGGCGTGTAGTGCAGCATCTGCCGCAGGGGCTGACGGGTCTCTGCTGCCGAGAGTACTGGGCTCAGAGATGGTCCCGCCAATGTCCTCTGGGAAAGTTTGCTGGGAACCATTCAATGATCTTTGATGACTTTCCCTCACTCCCCTTCACTAAGCCGACCCCTTACCCCCCCTGTCAGGTGTTGCTTTGTTTCAGTATCTCCTGTTTCCTCTGATTGTGGATGTCCCCAGAAGGGACTCCTCCCCACCACACACTTTCATTTCTTCAGTCAGGCTCCTCTAGCTATTTGAACAGACATTTCTCCAAAGACGATATACAGATGGCCAACATGCACATGAAAAGATGCTCAACATCAGTAGCCCTTGGGGGAATGCAAATCAAAACCACATGAGATATCACTTCACACTCATAAAGAGGGCTGTCATCAAAAAGAGAACAATAAATACTGGCAAAAATGTGGAGAAATTTGAACCATCATACAATGTTGGCAGGAGTATAAAATGGTACAGCCACTTGGGAAAACAGATGGGCAGTTTCTCAAAAAGTTAAACATTGAGTTACCAGAGGACCCAGGAATTCTACTCCTGGCTATAGATACATATGCCCAAGAGAATTGAAAACATATGTCTAATTAAAAATCTGTACATGAATGTTCAGAGTACCTGAAACAACTCAGATGTGCATCAACAGAAGACTGAATAAACAAAATGTGATATATGCCCATACAATGGAATATTATTCAGCCATAAAAAGGAATGAAGTACTGATGTATGCTACAACATGGATGAAACTTGAAAGCTACGTACGCTAAGTGAAAGAAGCCAGTCACAAAAGACCACATAGCATATGATTTCATTTATATCAATTTATAGGAAATATCTGGAATAGGCAAAGCCAGAGAGCCAGAAAAATAGATCAGTGGTTGCCAGGAGCTGGGGGAGGGAGAGCTGGGGGAGAGAGTACTGGGGAGTGACTGCTAATGGGTATGGGATTTCTTCCGGGGATGATGAAATTGTTCTGGAATTAGAGAGTGGAGATGGTGCATAACTTTTTGACTATTTTAAAAACTACTAAATTGTGTACTTTAAAATGGTGGATTGTATGGCACGTGAATTATATCTCAATTTTTACAAACTTCCTCAGGCTTCCAGGTACCTGGTGCAAGGAACACACCCTCTGCTGTGGCAGTTCCCAGCCTCCGTAGGCCCCTCTCTGAGTTTGCCTTCCAGGTCTGGTCAAAGGTGTCCTCAAGTCAGTTTTCAGGCTCCCAAGGGAGTCTGTTGAATGAGAGGAAACTCCTGCCAGGTTAAGAGGCAGATGGAACAATGGAGGGGGCTTCCCCAGGAAGTGGGGCCCCAGGAGGGCAGGAAGGCCAAGGAGACCCTGGCTGCCAGAAGGTATGGGGTTTCCATCTAAGTAGAGGGGTGGAGTCTCCCCAGGTTGGACTTCTGGCTCCTCTCTGAGATTAAAGAGACCCCAGGAGATGCCTCTGAAGGGACTCAGCTTTCCTCTCACTACAGCGAGTGAGAGATTGACATGGTTGCCATGGCTGCCATGGGAGAAAATGGAGGGACATGTGTAATGGGGTCAGTATCCAGTTCTACCACTGCTCTCCCTTCTAGTCATCACCCCACTTGGGGCCTCAGTTGGGGGGCATTAAATAGGATGACCTCTGAGGACCCTCTCTGCACCAAACAACAACACGGTTTGATGTATGATTTGGGGATCTGGCTGGTTAGCTCTGTGATTACACAAAGGGTGCTGTCCTATAGGGGTGTTGGTATTTGTTCAAACTACCCCCAGGAAAAGTCTTTATGCTCTGACTAAGCACCAAGATTTGACCTTGCACCTGGCCCAAGACATCTGATCCTAGGCCACGCTAGACAGATTCAGACCCAGATTCAGTCTCTAGGAGCACCAATATCTCACCGCTGTAGGCCCAGGGTGGGTTCAGACTGTGCATCCCTTCCACTGGGGCCACTGCTCAGAGGTTGTGTCATGGGTCAGCAGCTTCTTCTTAGAAGGCAAGTTTACACTAGAAATGGAATGAAGGTGTAAATAGGTTGTCCCAGTCAAAATCTGGTCAAAGTGGGCACAAGAAGTACACCCCTCTTAGGAAGGACCCTTCCAGCATCTGGGACTCAGGAAGTCTGAAGGTGCTTTGACTCTCAGATTCTCACCAACCCTGAAATACCTTGGGCTACCTGGGTCAAAGCCATTCTCTGGGATTCCATTTTCACTGTCACCCCCTGGCTGTCTGTCCCACAGGGCCAGTGGATGTGGAGCCCCAGGTGCCGGACAAGGACAACAAGGCTATGATGGGCACAGGAGACACACCTGGAGACAAAGTCAGCCCAGACTCTCAGAACTTGCGGACAAGTGTGTTCCACAGCATCAAGGTACCTCTCAGGGCCTGGCAGCAGCAGAACCATCCAAGCCTGGCAGAGCAAGCTCTGCCACTTACTGACTGTGTGACGCCAAGCAAGTTGCTGCCTTCCTGAGCCTCAGTGACCTCATCTGTAGAATGGGTGGCTGTGAGGATCAAAGGGATGGTCAATGAAAACACTTAGCTTGGTTTTGGGTACACGGAAGATGTTCTCTTCTTCCAGAAATGAAGAAGGAACTGCTCTGTGGCAGCAAGGGACCAGTCTCCCTTCCTGTCATTTCCCTAGAGGGACAGAGAAGGGCCCTGGGATCCTGCACCTCTGGGAAGAGAGGGCAAGTGCTGGCTCCGGCACAGGCAGCCCTCGACATCCAAGCATCCGCTGGCACCGACAGGGTGCCAGGCCAAGTGCTGTTCCCCCGTGATCTTATCTAGTCTCACAGTAACCCTGGGGGGAGGAATGTTGTCCTGTTGTGCATGAGGAAACGAGTCTCCGAATAACAGAGTGAATGTTATTAAGCTCGGGCATAAAAACTCTATTTTTTAATTCTTTGAGGCTAGTTTTTCTTCTCTTAGAAATTCTGCCTTTTTTTTTTTTTTTTAGGAAGCAGGAGGGGATGAGGGGAGGAGGTGGGGCTGGATAGGGTGGGCTGAGCAGCTTGGGGACTTGACTCCCAGGGGAGCTCTGGGGAAGATGGATGGTGGGGTGCAGAAGGATCTGGGATAGCTTCCTGGAGAAAGAGGAGGGAGGTGAAACAGGAAGGTGGTCCAGTCCAGCTCAGGGAGCTCTGCGGGTCAGAGGGGACTCTCACCGTTCTAAGCCTATGAAGACCCTATTCTGTCATGTGGGTCTCAGGTAACCCCCAGGCACCTGAGGGTATCCTGATATCCTGATAGCTTTTCTCACTTGTGTGGGAAGCTAAGGTACTCCAATAATTCTCTCTCTTTCTCTCTCTCCTGCTCTTGACCGTCCCTTCCCCTCCTCCTGTGTGTGTCTCCCGTCTCTATTCTTGCTCCTCTCACGGCCTTACTCTCCCTCTTTCCCCAACTCCACCTCCGTCTCGCCACCCTCTGACTACCGCCCCACTGTCTCCCTGTCCCCTGCCCACTGCCCTCGCTGTGGCCCCTCCCTCCGGCAGTTCTTCGTCCTGTGCCACAGTTTGCTGCAGCTGGCCCAGCTCATGATCTCCGGCTACCTCAAGAGCTCCATCTCAACGGTGGAGAAGCGCTTTGGCCTCTCCAGCCAGACCTCGGGGCTGCTGGCTGCCTTCAATGAGGTACGGGCCCTGCCACAGCCCTAGGGGCGGACTTGAGGTAGACTCACACCCCCGCCCTCCTCTCTGGCTATTCCAAGTAAGTCCTTCCCCCACCAAATGCCTGCAGGCTACTCCTTCACAGCTGCTCCCCAGACCTCCTTAGCCGGCTCCTTCAGCATTGTCCTGGCCAGTGAGGGGACTGAGACCTCCCCTCCCTATAAAGTCAGGGTATTGGCAATTCTGCCCTTGGGGGCACTTCAGTGGGGGATGTGGGGTATTTTAGAGCTAGCTAGTGTCTCCATAATACACCCTCTCCCTTTTCAGGCACCTGGCTCTTGCCTGTCCCAGGAAGGAATCAGAGGAAGTCACTTCAATAGTAGTGAGAGATCAAAGGCAGAACTTTGGAACCCTGGGGTAGTTGGGCAGTTCGTGATACCATAGCAGGAAGTATTGTTTTCAGAGTTGTGCAAGGATCCATGGCCTCTGTTTCTGGGACCAATAGTCAGGGGGAAGTAGATAAATTGTTTGGGTGGATTGGAGATCAGAGTCCGGCGGTGCCACGCCCTCCCCCACCAGATGTTGGGAGAAGGCCACTGTCCAGAGGTCACACTGTCTTTCTTCCCAGGACCCCAGCAGATTTCCATGAAATTCTCTCCCCACTCGCTGAGGTGTCACATTCCTCCCAAACCAAATTTTGCCAGCTACACAGATGCCCAGATGTCTCCTAGACTCCTCCAGATCTCAGGCGTGGGAAGGGAAAATCATTATCTAGCTCTGGGACCTTGGTCAAGTCACTCTGTCTCTGGGCCTCAGTGTCCTTTGTAGAAAATGGAGAGTGGCTGTCCTTCCAGGGTCAGTGCTCCTACCAACCCTGTGCCGATACTGCCCACTCCACCAGCAAGGAGCCTGGGGCTCAAGGTGTGAGGACCTCGCCCACAGTCAGCAGCCCGTGAGCTGTGAAGTGGGACGCACGCCCCACCTGCTGACGGGGGAGCCGCGCCGGCTCTTTACCTGCACGCTCTCAAGTCCCCTCCAGTGCCCACATCCTCGAATTTTGATTCCAAGTCTCAAATTCCAAGCCTTAGTCACTTGGCTTTCGACTTTCTTTATTTGTTTCTCTCATTCATGACATCTCAGAAACTCAAAACCCCCTTCCTTGACTGCCCCCTTCATATTTTAATATGGCAGCGATTTTCAACCTTTTTTATCTCACGGTACCCACAAACCAAGTACTGAAATTCTGCGGCACGCCAAATATAGGTTACATTTTTTGCCGATCTGACAAAAATAAAAATAGGTATAATTTTGATTCATTCACACCAGACGGCTATTGTTGTGTTGGCTGTTGTCATTTTTTTTTTTTTTAATTCTTACTGAAGGAAGACACGTTTCCGTTGATTTTCAGATAGAGTAAGAGGAAGAGAGAGAGAGAGAGAGAGAGAGAGAGAGAGAGAGAGAGAGAGAAACATCACTGTGAGAGAGACACATTAATTGGTTGCCTCCTGCACCACCCCAACCAGGGCTGGGGATTGAACCGCAACTGAGGTACATGCCCTTCACCAGAATTGAACCTGCTACCCTTTGGTCTGTGGGCTGACACTCTAACCACTGAGCCAAACCGGACAGAGTGTTGTCATATTTTTATTTGATAATCTAATGGAAAAGAGGTCAGTGCCTCTGACTAAACAGTCAGATATTGCATGTTTTCTTTTCTTTTTTTTTTATCCTCACTGGAGGACACTTTTCCATTTTTTGTTCAGATAGAGTGGGAGGGAGAGAGAGGAACGGAGAGAGAGAGAGAAACATCGATGTGAAAGGAACACATTGAGTGGCTGCCACCCGCACAACCAACCAGGGCCGGGGACAAACTGCAACCGAGGTACGCGCCCCTAGCGGGAACCGAACCCGGGTCTCTCAGGACCGCAGGCCGACACTCTAACTGTTGAGCCAAACCAGCCAGGGCAGATATTGCATGTTTTAAAATATCTTATGGCACACTGGTTGACAATTGCTGTAATATAGGAGCCAACCCATGTTCCAGAATGAAATGAACTTCTAACCTTGTCCACTCTGCCTCATTTTTCTCCCCTGATGGGGAAGTAGAGCCTTTCCTAGGAAGACCCAGAATCTAATTACTTAGCCTGCTAGTCCATTGTACAGAAGGGAACACTGAGGTTGGCAATAGAGGCAAGGATGGTGTAGGCCTCCAGCTCTGGGTTCTGTTCCACTTTAATGGGTCCCCTCATTCTTCTGCAGGTGGGGAACACAGCCTTGATTGTGTTTGTGAGCTATTTTGGCAGCAGAGTACATCGACCCCGACTAATCGGCTGTGGGGCTATTCTTGTGGCCCTGGCAGGCCTGCTCATGACTCTCCCACACTTCATCTCGGAGCCGTACCGCTATGACCACACCAGCCCCGGTAAGAGCAGCAGGGGCTGGGCAGGTGCCTGGGCTCATGTGCAGGCTTCATCCTGGACTCACTTCCCAGGACACCTCCGGTGCCCCCCAACTGCCTCCCTCAGTCCCAGCTCCAGTGGTGTTGGGGAGTGGGCCAGGGTGCAGTCCTGGGGTGAGGCTCTCTGGGCCAGTCTTGGTGAGGGCCTGTTTGTATGGCTTTTCTTGAGGTGGAGGTGAATTTACACCACAGTCTACCTTGGGTCCTGGTAGTAGATGGTCCTCAGGAAATGTCTGTGGAATAATGACATTGTCACACACCACTTACTGTGCACTAGCCACTGTTCTAAGCACTTTGTGTATGTTAATGTATTTAATTCTCACAAGAAGCCAAGACCTGATGAAAGGAAGAATGAATGAGTGAATGAATGAATGAATGAATGAATAAATTAAAAAATAAAAGAATTTTAGACGGGAGTAGTGAAGGCCCTGCCCGGCCCAGTGGGATTTTTGTCAAGGGCCTACTGGACAGATGGACACCGGTCCCTTGGAGAACAGTCCAAGCAACCTGAGCACTTGCTTCATTCCTTCCTTCTCCCACCCACCTGCTTATCCACCCACTCACCTGTTCACCCACCCACCACTCCCCACTCTTCGTTTTACAACCTCTGGGCCGGTGTTGTATTTTACAAGTGAGGAAACCGAGGCTCAGAGAGGGAGGGATGTCCCCGAGGTGCACAGCTATCAGAGATATGACACACCCAGGTGGCCGGGCCCTAGAACCCCTGCTCTGAGCCACCGGGTTATTCTGTTTCTGAATATTCCGTATTTCTGTAGAACGTCTGAAAAGTGTCACAGTCTTCAGCCCAGGCAGACTTGGTTGAAGGTCCGGGTTTTAACCTTGGTTCACCCAGCTGTTCTCAGAGCCCCAGCTCCTGGAAAGGGCGGGGCAGGCCACAGAGGAAAGGCCACTTCTAGATCCACATTTGGGATAATATTAGCATAAGGATCTCCTTAAGTTTGCTCACCAAATATTGGTGAGCTACAGGGAACAAATGCCTGGGACTAAATTAAGAAATGCCCTTTTACTACACTTCTCATGTGTCCTGAGCTGACACCGAGCCCTCCCCAGAATGAAGGCCAAGGGCACTAGAGCCCTCCACACCCCAGACCCCCTTTCCGCCCTGCCCCGCCCTGCCCTCAGCCCTGGCCTTGCCCCTCACACCCTGGGGCCAGCAGTGCCCAGCTTCTTAAGCCCCTGGGTTTGCACTATGACCACTTCCTGGAATATCCCTCCAGAAATAAGATTTCTGGAAAATCTTATTTGTTCCTCTTGACCCAGTTCAAATGCCTCACCCCATCCAAGAGCATATACCTCTGCTCAGAAAGGTGGCCTAGAGTGGTTGAAGAGTGTGGACTCAAAGGCAGGCTGCCCAGGTTCCAGTCCTGACCCCATCCTCCTAGTCGCTGCCTGAGCATCAGTCTCCTTGCCTCTGAAATAAGAGTCATGAGAGCACCCAACCTGGAGGGTTGTTGTTGGGGGAGGGGGTTGGATGATTGAAATGCGCAAGCACTTAGAAAAGTACTTGTATCCAGGAAGTGCTGTATGAAAGTCTTAGCTGTTGTCATAATATGTTTATCACCTCTCAGCAGACATGTCACAGGACTCGGAGGCTTCCCTGTGCCTGCCCACAACCTCGGCCCCAGCCCCCTCCAATGGCAGCAGCTGTTCAAGCTACACGGAGGCCAGACATCTGGCCGTGGTGGGGATGATGTTCACGGCACAGACCCTGCTCGGCGTGGGCAGTGTGCCCATCCAGCCCTTCGGCATCTCCTACATTGATGATTTTGCCCACGACAACAACTCGCCCCTTTACCTCGGTGAGGAATGGTCCCAGCCCTGGGCTCTGAGGGAGGGTCAGGCTCAGGTAGGGAGGACCTGAGGCCTCGAGTGAGGAGGGTGGGGTGGGGCTGGCCTCTGTCCCGCGTGGCCAGTAAAGATCTGGAGAAGCCCTGGAGAGTGCCCTGGGCCCCACCCAGGGAGAGAGGCTGCTCTTGCCAGTGGGCAGGCGCTGAGCGGCCGAGGGAAGCCGGGGGCAGAAAGGCCTGACCTAGGTTTTGTGTTGCAGGGATCCTGTTTGCAGCGACGATGATGGGGCCAGGCATGGCCTATGGGCTGGGTGGCCTCATGCTGCGCCTTTATGTGGACATTGACCGAATGCCAGAAGGTGATTCTCAAGGGCACACAGTTGTCCCCAGGGGCACACAGATACAGCTAGCTGACCACTGGTCTCACAGGAGACACTGAGCCAGGGGGTCCAGGTTCAAATCCCGGCAATCTCCCTGACCTTGGACATGCTTCTTAACTCTCTTTTTTCCTTATCTCTGTCCATTCTACTTCCCAAAGACACAACTGGAACCCAGTGAAATGATGATCAGCTGTAAACATCAGATGAAGAGCTGTGGCTATTGTCACTGTAATTATTATGTCTTTACCTTGCTCCATACCTGAGTCCCCCAGGCTCCCAGCCCCATGCTCAGATACACTGTGAGCACACAGGGGCACATACTTCCTTAGCCTTTGGGGAGCCCCCATCTTCAGGGGGAAGAAACCCAGGTGAAACAGAGAGGACACTGGTATGCCAGAGAAGATATTTGGAGCAGGGCTTGGTTCCCTTCGGTGTCTCTATGACGGGAATTTACTGCGTAACCTCTAAGGACCCTTCTAGTTCTGACTATCTCAGAGTCTGGGAAACTGAGTCAAGGGCACCGTTTGGGGACACTGCACTCTGATCCAGGTAGTGGTCAGAGGGGGCCAAGGAGTGGGACCGAAGCTTGGTGTGAAGGCGGTCACGAGGGTGGAGTCTTTGGGGTCCCAGTGCTCTGCCCCCTGCGTGGAGTGGGAGAGCATTCCTTTTAGGACAGTTCACTGTGGCATCTCAGCTGCCTCCTTGTCACACCGGGCAGTTCTGAGTTCCCAACTATGCCTTCTGCCGCTCAGAAGTTCTCTCCCTCACTTGGAGATTTTCCCAGAAAGCCCTAGAAGCCTCAGGTGATAGCGTACGGTGAGGTGGACATGCAGATTCTGCTTCTCGTTCTCAGGCTTTGCTCAGCATTGTCTCGTCAGGACAGGTCTGGGCAACTCTGAACAAGAGTCTCTAGGCACAGTCCTGCCCCACTTCTACCCGCCTTTCTTCTAGAAAGCTGGGCCTAGGAGCCAAGTGTGACCTCTGGTTGTGACTCCCCTCTCTTGAAGTACAACTCCTGGGAGTCAAGGTTCCTAGGTTTCCATGACACACCCAGCTCAGGGGTGTTTTCTGGCTCTTTGGCGTCGTTCTACAGATGAGGTACCTCCAGAGGCAGATGTGACATTCCTAATCCTTTCTCTCTGGGGACGTCATGGGGTGGGCGGATCATGTCTGCAGGCACAGACTGGTATGTGAAAAGTGGGGGAGTCACTTATTATTTCCCCTGGCACAGAGGTAGGAGGAATAATAAGTGGAGGAGGGAATCAGTACTAGAGCCAGCTGCATCCCCAGCTTCACAGATACGTTTGTTGAGTACCAACTGTTTACTCTGGTCTCTGCCCAGGAGGTTCAGGATCAGTGACCTGGGAACCAGTCTGACTCATGGGGCTGGTGTCATCATGCATCCATATTATTATAAAGTGTTTGCAGACACTGGTGATTAGAGGAGGAGGTACCCAACTCAGCCTTGGGGTCAAGAGTTTGATGGGGCATGTGGGCACTTCAGACAGCAGCTACATCTAAGATAATCTAGTCCTGATTACCCTTGGTGGAAGATCACAGTCACCTGGGGAATATGTTACAGGTGCAGAGTCCTTGGTCACCTTCTCACCGCCCCTCCCCCATGGTAGTTCTAAGTTGGTCTTGGGTAAGACCAGATACTTATATATATTTTTAATATGTTTTTATTGATTTTTTTAGAGAGAGAGATATGGAGAGAGAGGTATAAACATTGATGTTGGAGAAACATCGCTTGGCTGCCTCCTGCATGCCCCCTACTGGGGATCAAGCCCGCAACCCAGGCATGTACCCTGGCCAGAATCGAACTGGGACCTCTCAGTCCATGGGATGGGAGGTCACCAGCCGGGCAGACCAGATATTTTTGATAAGGACCTCTGGTGACTTTAACCATCCTGCAGGTCTGAGAACCACAAAAGTAGTCCTAACCATCAATTTAATCATAGTAATCACAATAGTAACAGTGAGACAGAGAAGAGCAAACACCTGTAGAGACCACACTGTGCACCAGCACTATTCTGAGTGCTTTTTTCATGTGTTCATTTCTATGATTCTCACAACTCTCTGATGCAGGTACTACTAATATCTGTATTTTACAGAGGAAGAAACAGAGACACAAAGGTTAAGAAACCGGCCCAAAGTTACGTTAGTAATGGAATTCAGATCCAGCAGTTCATTTCCAAAACCCGGGACCTTGACCACTACACACATTGCCTCAGTAGTGGAAAAAGCTGAGGACCACAAATGGTCAGGGACTTGCCCAAGGTCATGCAGGACATAAATGACAGAGCCAGGATCATAACCCAGGTCTCCTGACTCCCACCCAGGCTACCTTATGCCTCAGAGGTCAGTCCCAGGGTGGTGGCCAAGAGGTGAGGGCCCATCTTGAACTTACCATCACCACGGTCTTCTCTTCCAGGTGGTATCAGCCTGACTTCGAAGGACCCCCGATGGGTGGGTGCCTGGTGGCTGGGCTTCCTCATCTCTGCAGTCGCCGTGGCCCTGGCTGCCACCCCCTACTTCTTCTTCCCCAGGGAGATGGCCAAGGAGAAAGATGAGCTTCACTTCCGGCGAAGGGTCCTGGCAGTTGTCAGCAAAGTAAGCTCCCTCTGTATCCCACCCTGGTCCAGGCTCCAGCCCCCACCAACGTGTCCTCCTTTATAACATTGAATGTCATCCCTCCTGGGCACTGCACTTCACAGTTTACAAAGCCGTTCCCGGGGCTCCACTGCCTCCCCCAGCAGCGCTGCGCAGTGAGCATCCCCTGCCTCTCTCAGAGTCAAGGACCAGAGATGGAGGTGACCTGCCCAGGACCACAAGGCCAGCGAGGGCCGCGCTGGGATGAGAGCCCGAGCCTGTCTGAGCCCATGGCCGTAGTTCTGACCACTGCACTACTGCCTCTCTGCTGGTCACTTCAAGTCTTTTCTGTAAATTCTGAGCACGCTGTAGCAACGTTGAGAACTGGGAGGAGGGTGTGTGGGAGGCCCAGGAATACTTCTCCGAAGAGGAGGGATTTGAACTGGAATTTATAGGATGTGTGGAAGTGTGGGAAGGGGGGGGGGGCATTCCTGGTGTGAAAACAGCCTGGGCAAAGCACTTGGCAATAGAAATGGCACATTTAGGGGCAGTGAGGGCACAAACATGTATTGGGTGCCTCCCTGTACCAGGCGTCAGGCTGGACAGTGGAGCTCAGGACGTGGTCTCTGCCCTCAAAACAGGCACAGCCTGGTCAGGACAAAGACGCGATGATACATAGCAACAGGTCGACAGGCAAGGTGCCCCAGGGGTATCTCACAGAGCCCTCTGCTTGGCTTGTGGGGTGGGTGGTCTTTCCTCAAAGGAGGACACTGGCCCAGCAGGTGCAGGGATGTGCCCAACGTCACAGCTGGTAAGAGGGCAGGGCCATGTGACTACTGGGCAGGAGAGATGATTCCGGGCCAGGAGCTTTCAAATTTTCCAGGGACGTACAAAAACATGAGGCCTGAAAAATGATACATTGGCTCAAAAATACAAAAGAGAATGACTAAATAGAAATGTTTTATAAGCTCAATTATATCACCAATATCGATTTCATTCATTTCTCCTTAATAGTCATACAAATTTTATTATATTCTGAAAACTTGTGCATTAGATGCTTTCCTTATGGGAGGGTGAAGGGATAGCGCTCCTGTGTTTCTCCTTCACCCCCACACACAAACTTCTGTGACCAGATTCTCCGTGACATCCGCTGGGTGGCCTATAACTTAACTGCATTCTGACTCTATCTGTCTACCTGGAGATAGCATCAGATCCCATGCGTTAGGGCCCCTACTTTGGAAGCCAATCACAAAGAATAGGCTCCAGGTTACCCGCAACTTCTGTCCAACTTGGCTACAAATCAGAGGTCCCCACAGCGCCCTCCTGGGATTTGACGATTTGCTAGAATGGCTCAAAGGACTCAGGGAAACACATTTACCAGCTTATTTTACAATAAAGGATATGACAAAGGATACAGATGAAGAGATACGTGGGCGAGGTATGGAAGGTCCCGAGTCCAGGAGCATCTGTCCCTGTGGAGTTGGGGTGCATCACCCACCAGCATGTGGATGTGTTCCCTGACCTAAAAGCTCCTGAGTCCCACGTTGTTTGGAGGCTTCGTCACCTGGTCCTGATCAGTTACTAACTTCATTCCCAGTCCTCTTCTCTCTGAAGAATGGAAGGTTGGGGCAGAAAGTTCCAAGTTCCTAATCATAACTTGGCCTTTCCGGTGACCAACCTCATCCAGGTGCCCACTAAAACGTCCTATTCAGAACAAGCAAACAAAGCAAAACAAAAGATGCTCCTACCACTCAGGAAATTCCTGAGATCTTAGGATCTCTGTGTCCAGAACTGGGGTCAAAGACTAAACATTAGAACCAAAAATTCTCCTAACATACCTATTTGCAAGAGTTTTAGGAGCTCTCTGTCAAGAACCAGGGACAGAGACCTGCATATGTATAATATATAATATATAATATTACAACATACAATATTTATGTAATTATTTCATGGGAAAGTCATTGTTGAGAAATCACAAGCATAAATTAAGTTAGTTGTTGATAAGTAGTTCCAATTTCAAAGGAACATTTATAAATCATGTTGAATATTTTGCAGCAAGAATAATTCTGTTCAATGTGGCAGGTTGGTACATTTAAACATGTTTGCTGTAATATATGATGTGGCCTCCTTCTTGAGCCTAGGAGCAAGGACTGACAATGACTGGAACAGCCAGCAGGGGCCGGGACAAGAAAAGCCTTGCCTGTCAGCCTCACCAGCAGTGGGTGGGCCTCCAGGGAGGGTCAGCAGGGGGTCCTGTGACTCCATCACCAGGTGCTGGGCAGAAACTGGACTGCAACAGACAGTAGAGTGTGTGGAGAGCGGCTGGAGGCAGGGAGACCGAGGTGGCAGCTTTGGCATTGGTCCAGGGAGGAACCAGTGCATTGGCAGTGAGGTGGAGCATGAGAATGAGCCCAGGAGCCACCCAGGAGGGGGCTGCACCGATCCGGGAGCTGCTGTGCTGTGGAATGTCCCAGCGACAGTGAAGGGCTGGGTTGATGCTGGATCTGAGTCAGGGAGGCGCACACTGGAGAGGGACCAGTTTCAGGGGAAGAAGAATGCTTGGAACCATGGATGGTCCTTCCTGGTCCTGCCTAGCTCAGGTCAAAATTTAAATGAGCTAGATTTCCTAGAATTTGGGGAAGAGTTCTTAGAAGTGAGGGTGATCAGAGGAGAGCCTGGGTTGCTGATTACAGATCATCTCCAAGTTGAGTCATAAATTTGAACAAAAAGAACAGCCACTGGGCCTTGGAGTGGAATCGGTGGAAGAGTATTGTCTACCCTGGGCTCAATCACATGTCAGTCGTGTGACCTTGAGCAAATCACTTCCGTGTTCTGTCTTGTTGTGTGTGGTGCTGAGACTGGATTCCTGGGACATATTCTGTGCACCTCGGATTCTGAGAATGCGTGATTCCTTGAGTTGAAGCTGCTGTGGTGCAGATTTAGATTTTAAGAGCTGTGTTTCTGGGATGACTTGAAACCCTGGTTCCGGGCTATGAACTTGTCTGGCTGTCTGGATTTATTCTGTCAGCACACTGGGGGAGGCGGGAGAGGTTCTTTAAAAAGAACCAAAGGCTGAGAACATGATGATCTGCTTCCAGCAGATCGCAGGCAATAAATATTGATGTGGGAGGAACTGTTCCCTCACCTCCTGAGGCTGCCTTGACGGTGTCTGCTAACAGTTATCCAGGCTGGCCCAGCCCACTCAGGTCACTGGCGGGAGGTGGATGGTCCAGGAGGAAGGGCCCAGTTAGGTGGGATAGGCTGCCAGAGAGTCCAGGCCCCTGGCATGTGTTATCTTCTGCAGAAAGTGACAACAGACAGGGGGAGAAAGTGAAGAAGGGACTTCTTCTGAAATCCCTTCGAACATCTCCTCCCAGGCTCAGGGGTCCCCTAAATACCCTCCTAGAAGTAAATGCAGCTTCTAATGGCATCCAGGAGATGATTGTATGTAATGCAAGGATTGTGACCCAGAGAATGTCTCTGGCCTCAGTCTCCCAGTCTGTACAGTGGGCAGAAGATTGGACAAGGTCTGCCAGGTTCAGTGACATCTCCTCTACATGGCTCCCTGTCTCTGGAGCAATTTCACAGTGGGACAGAGGGGTGCATCCCATAGCCCCTGCCCCAAAGAGCTCTCAGGTAGTGAAGGAAGGCCAGGTGCAGACAAACAGGACATGACTGAATGACAGCTCAGTTTCTCCCAGGACCAGTATATGGGTTCTCTGCCTGGGGGAAGGGGGACATTTGTTTCCACAGAGAAGACTATGAGATGAGGGATGGGGGTGGGGCATACAGAGCATGGGAGGGGGCAGGAGCTCTGCTTTCCTGCCTTTGGCTTAGTTCATGAATCTGTTACCTCTGAGCTCTGGTGGCCACTAGACATCTTTCTAGGAGTGAACCAGGACAGGTCTTACCTTACACTGGGCCTCAGTTTCCCTGTCTGCAACCAGCCAGTTTCTAAGGTCTTGTCAAGTCCCAGGACTCCTGGTAGATGGCTCTGCAGAATCCACGGAGGAAAGATGGCGTCTTAGGGGCTCCCCAGCAAGTTGTCTGGTCCCATCCGGCCTTGTAGAGCTAAGGCCCCGTGCAGCCAGCAACCCTCCTGTCCCTCCACATCCTCAGGTCTTTCTGAGCGCCTACCCATGGGGCTGGCCAGGGGCTGGGAATGGCCTCTGCTATTGAGATCCCTTGGCCAGCCTCTAAGTACCACTGGCCTCTGTCACCTTCTCTTGGTTCATATTTCCTTGGAGTCTCTGTGTCTATTATTTTGGGGACTCTCCCAGAATCAGGGATTCTATACTTATATGGTTAAAAGTTCTGTGTTTCTAGTAGTTGAAGATTCTCAGGTACTTGTGTTCTATCATTCTAAGATTCTATGACACAAATGGTGTGTGATTCCCAAAATTCACATTTCTAAACGACTAGAATTTTAACCAAAGAGTAACCTCTATGTGCTGCTTTGGGAGTATGGTCAAGGATGAGAACAGGAATGGGCAGTGGCAATGGCCCTTAAAACCCAAGACTTATGACGGGTCTAGTGAGGTCTGCCCAGCCAAGAGGACCCTGTTTTCCTGGGACTTTGTGCTCCCTCTGTAGGCCATGTGAAGTCCAAGGTGACTCGGGTCCTCCTTGTGCCCCATATCACTCCCTCCAGACCCCCTGGCCAGAGAGCTCTCTGTGTCCTTCTCCATGCCTGGCCCTCCAGACCTTGTGACTCCACCCTCACCCCATCTCAACTCTCTAAGATAAAAGGTCTTATGTGATCATTCAGTTCAACCCCCTTCCATCTTACAGATAGAGGAACTGAGGCCCAGAGAGGGTCAAGGCTGTGCCCAGAGCTTGGCCAGCACCACCTCCCCCTGCACCAGTATGTACAAGGCCAGGTCTTGGCCCCATAGGGCTAAGGAGAGGCTCTCCCTCCCCAACCTACTGCATATTAGAGCTTCCGGGGGGGGGGCTGGAGGGGACTTTGAGGTGATCTGCTCCCCACAGAACCCCAAGTATGTCACCATAGGAACACTGAG